ATATATATATATATATATTATAATTCTAGTTTATTATTTAAGTTATTTAGTTTAATAAAATTTAACTTCAATCCTCATCTCAAGCACTATTAATATTTTTCTCATTTTCAATGTCACAACACTGTCTATATTATTGTCACATTTTTAAGTGTTAACTAGGTTTAAGTATCACATCAATCAATATTTAGTGTGCCGAGATTTAATTATAAAATTTTTAAATTTTGAAAACTTTTAAAAATACTATTAAATATAAGAAATTTAATGATTAATTTAACTTATAAATTTCATTTTGTACTTGAAAGTCTAAAGGTAAAACGTTTGAAGTTTTGAATCTTTTATCTCGTAGAAGAAATCAACTTCTCATAAAAAAAGAATCAACTTGTATTACACTAATGACAAGTTAACCATCAACAATGAGATATGCATAGTTATAATTATTTTGTTATAAACATGATCATCTACTTTCAATAAATTTCTCAATAAACAATTTATATTAAAAAATGAGAAAAATAAAATAAAAATACTTATATAAAAAATAAATTAACTTATATATAAATTACTTTGTATAAACTCTTTCACATTCTCTCAAATTCACTTGTTTAGAATATATTTTTTTAATTTATATATAAACTAATTTTAATTTATGAAAAGACATAAACTTAAATATGTATTCTTTACAAATATAATTCTATCTCATTTTAGATCTTACAATTCTTTTTTATCATTAATATTAATTTTAGTTAGTTTCGTACCGATATATATATATATATATATATTAAGCTAGTAAGCTAATAATAAATATTTTAAATTAAATTAATTTAATTTTTTATTTGTTATAATTATTTATGAATTAAATTTTAAAATAAATTATAAATAAATAAAAATAATATTATACTAATATAAATTATTTATCATAAATTTAAAATATAATTTATATATTTAAAAATATTTATATATTTAAATATAATATTTATTTATATACATGTATAATAAATATTTAGATTGTAGATAAGTTAAAATACTAGTTTTAATTAATACTGTGGAGTTCACAACAGTCAGTATTTGTTATTCAAATGGCACACAACAAAAGTTTTCTTATACGATGGTACGCACAACGAGTCACTGACACGCACCCACATAAAGATAAAGATAATAAAAAATAATAATGATTAATGAGAAACAGACACCAAAATAAGAAAACAAATTAACAGCATTCACAAATTATTAACAGATAATATATCTCTTTGGGGTCACAGAGCAGTGGCCAGTATTATGTGAAAAGGGCAAAAGGCGGATGATTCCAAAGAGTGTTTTAATTTGATGTTAGTTAGCATTTTTTAAGGTCCATGAAAAATTCTCACACTTCACCACAGCCATAGGAGCTGACCCTTTATAGTTGGAGCTTCTGGTTACGGCACTATCCTATAAAGTCCACACACATCACATAATACCCACTTGCCCATACAAACTGTTGCTAGAGATAATCTTCAATCTCAAAACTCTGCAACTAATGCATTAACAATAAATAAATAAATACTCATCTTTTGTAGTATAGACTGGTTTGTGTAATTTAATATTTTGAGGATCTCTTTGCGGCTATTTGGGGAATTGTTTCCTTGGAGAGTGAGGTCATCCATCTCATAGCTGAGGTGACATCCCAGGTTTTCATTATTTTAACATTTTATTATTTTTAAGAATATATGAAGAAGATTATGTCTCCAATCAGGAAGTGGGTCGTTGGAAGACATGTATTTTACTCCTTTCATTTGATCACATTTTTCTTCTTCTGTAATTAAATAGAAAAAAGTATTTTTTAGGTGGGGTTTGTACTGTGGCGTTGTTAGGAGTATCTTGAGGGTGAACAATCTGTTAATGGATCAAGATAAAGGTGGGGAATTGGATCCGGTTCATGATGAGAATTTGAGTCATTTGGTTGAAGGGGTTGCAATTGCAAGAGCTAGTATAAGTGGAGAAGCTGGAGCTTCAGGAGAGGTGGGTAAGGATTTGGGATCTGATAAGGAGCTAAAGGAGGGAGTTAAGAACAAGCATGATCAAGAAAATATCAGAGATAACTTACCCGGGGTTGATCAGGGAACTAGTTATAATTCAAACCATTTGGTCAACCAGGAAGTGATTGAAACTGTGGTTGTCATTGAGTCTGATCAGACTGAGTACGTCAATGAAGATAATAGGAAATTGGAAGCAAAAGTTGATGAATCAGAGTTGAGCTTGGTGTCCATGAAAGCACCAAAAGGGGTGTCTGAAACTGATAAAAATTCATGTGTAATTGATATAAAGTGCAGCAGCCGCAAAAAGTTTTATGAGAGTTCTGAAGATGAAATGATTTGTAGGATTTGCCATCTGACTTCTGGGCAGCCATTGGACGAAACAACTGTTGGCACTGATAATAGTGCTCCAAGTGCAGATTTGATTCAGCTTGGTTGTGCATGTAAAGATGAGCTAGGCATTGCACACCTTCATTGTGCTGAGGCGTGGTTCAAGCTTAAGGGAAACAGGTATATGCTCTTGCCAAATATCGGTTTGTAGATCAACAGTGACATTAGTGTGTTTTTTGAGGTTTTGCATTGAAGCTTTTAACATTGATCATGTTCCTGATATTGTCTACTTATTGTCCTATGTAGGGATTCATAAATTTTTTCACTAAATTATCCTGTTTGGCACAATTTCTGAAAGCAAATACTCCTCTTTCCC